TTTTATTTTATTTTATTTTATTTTATTTATTCAATTTCTGTGGCCACCCATCTCAAACAAGTAACTCTGGGTGGCAAACAATCATAAAATCAATTAAAACCAAGTACAAACAGTACAAAAAATAAATATATATAGCAGCCAAGAAAGATCATAACCAAAGATGTTAATATCACCAGGAAATTTTCTCATGCTTCTAATATAAATGGACAATATTTGTGCCCATATCAATAATAGCTTTGATAGATAATCTTAAAGAACTTCTGAAGTTATATGATTTCCCCATACATTAAAAAGTTGGATGAGATCTATAGTAGGCAGATGAAATGGAAGGCAGAAGAATTAGTGTAATATGCAAAAAATATTTTTGGTGGACTCGCTTATTTGGGATGAGGCTTTGAGGGGGCACTGTTTATGGAACACTTTTTTAATACAAAAAGCAACACTGGAGCTGTGACTAAAGCAGGCTGGAATAGATTCTTAGTTATCAACATTGTCTGTCTGTCTTTCAGATACCTTCTTGAACAGAGAGATGTTGAAATCAATGTCCGAGACAAATGGGACAGTACCCCTTTGTGAGTGCTTTGGTCTTGAGACACGCATACTGTTTGGTAACTTACACAGGAATTTAAGGAAAATTAAGGTCTTTCAGCATTCACAGCATTTTCCTATCTGCCTTCTGTTACTTTTTAAAAAGAAAATGTTTTTCGTTGTAAATATTGTAAGTAATCTCTCCGAGGTTATACGTATGAATAACACTCCAATGTCTAGTCCCTCTGTAAACCTGGATAATTTTCCTCATCTGTAAAGAACCTTCTGGGTGACAGTAGAGTTTCTATCATTGCTTCAGTGTGGCCACCATTTGAATAGGTTGCTAGAAATCCCTGCTAATGTGAATTGGCTGGTAGCATGGAAGCAATAATTCTCATATTTGCTTTCAACTTGCGTTCAGAACAGTACTTTTCTAGAAGCAAATGACTGACATAAGGGGCAGGATAGCATAAGGATCTCTAGAATTGCACAATGAGATCTGTCGCACCATAAGCATTTCCATTTACCATTCATTCGTAATGCAATTTAATACAAACTTGTGATTTTGCATTGTCTTAATTGTCTGCAGATCTCTCTTTTTTTTTTTTTTGCATGTTGTCTTCAAATTTGTGAGTCTGGAGTTTGCAGAGAACATCTTCAATCATTGCTCAATCTTAGTTAGCATTTGCCATCTAAGAGAGTGCTAGCAGACTAGTGCTCCTTACTCTGTCAAGTTGGCCAACTGCTTCCTGTGCTTTGTGAATTAACAAATATCCCTTAACCCTCTCTTCACAGAAAGCAAAGCAAAGCAACGGTTAGCATGTGTCTCTTGTTCCCAAACAGAAAAGCTGTGCATCATCACCCTGAGAAGTGGTGTATCTCAGCAAACTTTTGGAGAGCAGTGTATCAGCAAAATTGCGTTTGAGAGCTTTTACCCTATAGCATAGTTCATGACAGCATGTTAGTAAGCTGAGCTAAATGAAATGCCAACTAGATGTACAAGGCATAAAGTGTGGCCGGCAGTCTCTCCAGTGAGAAAACACCCACCCACTAGCACAGGATTAACTCACTGGAATGTGGGTTTCATCAGTCTTGAAAGTGAGGGGAAAAAATGAAAACAGTTTTTCAGAGGGTGGTGAGGAAACAGCTTTTGTAAATTTACTTTGCATTAGTAGTGGTTGAAGGACAACATTGTGGGATTGGTGAGGATATGTGCCATCTATGAGGTAGGCAAAAATAACTTTTTCCAAGTATATGCTTGGAATATTGTGCATTCGCATCAGTCCTGAAACAGCTGTTTTCGCCATCAGTCTGAATCTAGGAAAAATCCAAGGTGGTATTTTTGCCTTAAAACCTTAAGCAAGTTCTGGACAGCCTAATATTACTTGCACCTTTCTTTAGCTTGAGTTCTCAAGATGAGACTGGGGAAGGGTCTCTTACTGTAGATGAATTCTCCAGGTAAAATTTTGCTGGCAGTAACCTGACTGTCTTTCCAGAGCCAGGACAAGATCTTTCAATATACACAGGTCAACTGTCAGCTTTTCAGCTTTGTTTTTAAATGTAGGGCTGAGTGTTATTTTTTATAGGAGATTGCTGTTAAAATGTTTATTATGCATGTGATATGTTCTGGAAGTCTTGCATAAAAGGAGCAGAACATTTATACTTTTTAAAAAATATCAAATCTGCCATTTTCTTGGTACTGTATATTGGAGATGAGTGGGGGGAATGTCAGTTCTTTCTTCCCAACTATCAGATAATATATTTCTTGCATTGTGAGACAGTCATGCTATGCTGTGGTGTTTTGATCATGGCTTACTGAATAAACCATATGAGTTTGGTTCTAGAATATCCAAAGTCAATACTGTACCAAACAAGCCACATTATGATTTAATGTGATGTGTAAACTCAGTGGTACAATTAATGAGAGTGCTTGGGAACCAAGATATCTTTCATGGGTTTGCTACATCTGCATAGTTCTAACCTGAGTTTTATTGAGGGGTATCATCTTATATTGTAGTTGAACTGAATAATTGTATTTTACATATGCATACAACAAAATTAGACAGCTTTATGAAAATAAACTTTGGTATTGAAAGTTTGGTAATGTAGGGATAATCTGTGGCAAATGCAGCAACAATCTTTTGGCTGTTTGAATGCTTTATCATCATGATTGTAATATCTTAACATGGTGGGGGAGACCTGGCTTGACAGTGGTGCATTTGAAAGGAATTTGGATATCCTTAATGACAACAAGTTACACGTGAGCCAGCAGTGTGATGCAGCTGCTAAAAAGGAATTTGCTGTCTTGGGGTGCATTAACAGGAGCATAAAGTCCAAATCACAGGAAGTAAGTGTTCCACTCTACTTTGCCCTGGTCACACCCCACTTGGAGTACTGTGTCCAGTCCTTCTTAAAAAGGACAAGTGGAACAAGTTCAGAGGAAGGCTACCAGGATGGTGAAGAGTCAGGAAAGCAAGCCTACAAGGAACAGTTAAAGAATCTGGGTATGTTTAGTTCCAGTAGAGATTGAGGGGAGGTATTAGAACAAGCTTCAAGTATCTGAAAAATGGTCACACAGAAGTAGGGAGTAGACTTATCTTCCATTGCTTGGTGCAGGGGATTGGGGCTAAAGCCAAAAGGAAGCTGTTTCAGGATAGATGTCTGGAAGAAATTCCTGGTTATGTGAACTGTCAGCCAGTGGAACAGGGTGCCACATGGCATGATAAGTTCTCCTTCCCTGGAGATCTTAAAACAGGCTGGATGCTCATCTTTCAGAGTTGCTCAAGCAGATCCTGCACTGAGCAGGGGGTTGGATTAGATGATCTCTAAAATATCTGACCTCTAGGATTCTATTTATGTTCACTACTTTCACATGTGCGTGTGGCTGACAGTACTTTATTCTGCTCTGGCTTTTTTATACTGAAAGGCACTAGAGCAATAACTTGGAAGGGACTAATATTTCATGTTATTCTAGAGTTTCCATTCAGTTGCAGAACTGGTGCTGTGGATAAGCTTCTGGGGCTCATGATGCATTATTCTGTAAAGATTTTATTTGTATTAGTATATTTCTGATCTCAGTGTTCCCTTTTATAGATATTATGCTTGTCTCTGTGGACATGAAGAGCTTGTGCAATATCTTCTAGCCAATGGTAAGGGAGTCTGATATACTCTTCTGGAAATAAATATATGTGGTTACTTTTTGTCCTCTAGAATTGAAACTGTAAAAGTAAAGTCAGTTAATAATCTTACTATGGTGAAAAACTGTAGTTACTTTCAGCTTGTTGCCAACGTGAACAGACTGAAATTTTATTTTTTTGAAGTCTTTTTCCCCTTAGGTTAATATGGATCTTTTTTTGTTTTTTTTTTAAGGCCAGGATAGTGCTTGGTGACATTTTATGTTATGAAGTTTCTGTTCTTTTTCATATTGCTGCATCCAGGAGGTCTAGGGCTAAAGTAGATTAGAGGGAGATCTAATTGGTCCAACTCTTACAGTAGAAATAAATCCAACTTTAAAAGCAAGCTGGAAATTGCTAGCTGTTGTAATCTATCAAGTGGATAGTAAAAGAAGCCTCAAAACCAAGAATAGCTGTTTTGGCATATAGAGATCCATCTAAATCAAGCTGTAGCTCACCATGTCTGATCTTTACCCATATCTTCTTGAGAATTAATATACTGTTTCATAATAATTTGGTTGCAAGAAAAAATATATTAAAAAGGAGTGCAGTTAGCTTCATATAATTCTTATTACAGGAAAGTTTACCTGAGAAAGTAAAGGTCAGACTTTAAACTAGGAGATTATGGTTTAAATCATAAAGCAGGTTCATGTCCTAATACTGTACATGTATGTATTGCTGGGATGACTTGCTGCTTTCTAAAATTAGGGATATATGTTTAAATGTTTTGCAATTAAACAATTTAACACAAGCTACATGTAGGCCATAGTTACCTAGAAATGAAGATTCCCTAGCCAGTGTAGCTGATAGGGTTGAGTACACTGTATTAACACTATGTGATGACATAGTCAAATTATTTTCATTGTTTTTCTACATCTCTTGTATTCTGTATGTAAATTGACCTTTCTCTATTATTTCAGCCAGATAGCCCGGCTTCACTTAATATTTTTAAACTGTATAAAAGTTGCCTGCTACAGGATTTCAGATATTTGTTTCCGTCTTACTGGCATTTTTATAAGTTTGGTCTAATTCATACTCCATAAAAATGTATTTTCTCTAAAATATTGAAGATACCTCACACCATAGTCTTAAGTGAGCTCTTAAGTGAATGAGACTGGATGGAATTTAATTCTGTTTCATAAACTCTTCTTTGGATCTAAAAAAATTGCAGTGGTATCTAAAGGCTTTAAAGAAGTTATCTCATTTCTGTTCCTCACCCTTCCAAAAATAGTAGTGATAAAAATGTGTTATGTAATCTGGTACATATAATTATGCAAACTGGTCTTCCTGACAGGTGCAAAATGTGAAGCAAACACCTTTGATGGTGAGCGTTGCTTATATGGAGCTCTGAGTGATACTATCCGGCGGGTGTTGAAGGAGTATAAGCAGATCACAGCAAAGTGCATGAAGAGGGACTACTATGATGCCTTTCTTCAGCGGTAAGGGGATGTATTCTGATGTTGGCAAAAGAGTCATCTTCAGAGAGGGCTGTATAATTGTCTTCTATTTCTTATCATGCCTACACATAGCACAAATGGTAATTTTAGGTTATGGCACTATGTTATGTAGAAGTATGCAGTATTCAGTTCTTCTCTCTACTTGTCTGTTGTTCCTTGCCCAGTATCTCCATAGGCTCAGAAAAATATGTGTTTGAGTTGAAGAAGTGGTCTGTGCAGTTACTGTGCAAGCCCAGGAAAAGACGTGGCTTCTTTAAAGAGCCTTTGGAGAGGATTAGTGCAGAATTTGATTGCCAGGACTTTAAGTGGTTCAGCAGATGAAATGGTGTAAGATTGCTATTGTGGTGCTTAATACTTTTCTTTCCTCATACAGTTGTGATTAGTGAATTATATCTTAAAGAATTTATCATCCAGAATAAAAACTGTAACAAAAAATACAATAAGAAAAATAAATAGGATTCATCAAAGGCAATATTAATAATGCTGTTTTACAGCTTTAATCTTTGGGGAAAAAAAGGTGGTGATGTATACTCTCAGTGCACAAAACTGTTTAGTTGAATTATTCAACACAATTTTTGTCTAATCATGAAATTACTTTTCTCAATCTCCTTGCAGGCTTCTAGAACAGGGTTACCACAGTGACATTGTTTTTATTGTTCACGGGAAGACTTTCTGTGCCCATCGCTGTGTACTTGGTGCCCGGAGTGCTTATTTTGCAGAAATGTTTGAGACCAAGTGGAAGGGGAAGAATGTCATAGCACTGAAACATCCACTGGTAAGAAACCCAAGCTGTGTTTGTTCTTGAATATTTTTATATTTGACACTTTCTTACCTACCCTTTGCCAGAAACTGATGACAACAAATTGTGTTACAAAGTGGTGGAATTATGGATTACCAGCGAGATCATGCTGACACGTTTTGGTAATATTCAAGTTACGTTTGCTGTCCATATCTCACAGTTCCACTTTCAGACACATCAGTGTGCAATGCATGTGAATTAGAACTAATAGGTACTGGAAACTGAGCTTCTGTTTTATATTTCTCTACAGTATTTTAAATGCAAGTAAAGTCAGAAAGATGGTCTTTCATGGGCAGTCTACATCCCAAAAAACAAATCTTATTAAAATTATGGGAAGCCAGTTTCCCAACTCACTTCTCATGCAGACCATCCAGCCTTCAGCAAATGCTGCATAGGAGCTTGATGTGTCTTACTGAAGATGGCGAAAGTGTTAGGAAGAAAGTGTTAGGAAGAAGAGTCTGCTTCTGCCACCCTGTTGGACCAGATCCTAAATCTGATCCAGCTGGTTACACAGTTTGTGAAAAGATTGCCTTTTGCCATTAAAATTTAACTGCCCAAGGGTATTTATTTGTTTGCTTGTTTGTTTGTTCATTTTTTTGGCCACCCAACTCCCAGTGACTCTGGTCAGCTTCATAAAGTTAAAAGAACACCAAGTCTGTAAACATAAAACATATTCATAAAACAGTGGCCACCCAACAGAACAAAACCACTCTTAAAGTCCCCCTCAAAGGGGCCTATCCATCCATCTTAACCCAAGGCCCGGGAGAAAAGCCACATTTTTTTAAAAATGCTTAAGTGTGGGCAAAGTGGGAGCCATGTGGATTTCTGGGGAGGGGGCTGTTTTAAAGGGCAGGAGCAGCAACAGAGACGTCTTGCTTCTTGGGTCCCGCTAGATAACATTGCCTAATTAATGGACTCTGAAGCAAGCCAACTCTGTCAGAGTGCCCAGGGCGGGCAGACGCTGCGGGAGACAGACGGTCCTTCAAATAGCAGAGCTTTGTAGGTGACAACCACCAATATGTTGAATTATGTCCGGAAGCCAACCGGTAAACTGTGTAACCCCCATGGCAGGGGTTGTATATGGACATAATGAGAGTTGCCTGTTGTTGCTAATGATTCTGCATTTTGCACCAACTGTAGCTGTCCAAATTCAGCAACCTGAATTTTCTAGGCCCTGTTTACTTTCTAATTTAGGTCTCATTTATATTAGTATTTCTTTCCAAAGTTTGTTGTATAAATTTGTACGTAACTCATTTGTTCCATGTACAGATCAACCCAGCAGCCTTTAGTTCCCTTCTACAATACCTCTATACAGGTAAATCTAAATCTCATATTAAAATTATGGTTGCTGCATTTAGATTTTATTTCTTCTTTACGATAAGTTCTACATAAATTTCCTGCTTATATTTTCTTTCAAAGTTTTAGATTCTTTGGAATTTCTTGAAAGATATCAGGAGTGAATAGATCATGGGTGGGCAACATTTTTTTGCTCTGGATTATACTTAAAAAGTGTTTTGGATGCTCAGAGCCAGATTGGGTGGGTTGTAATGCTGTGATATCACTAAAGTGCTTTCCCGATCTATCACCATAAATAAATGGTAATAATCACCAAAGTGAATGTAGTTGGGATTTCTGGAATGTTTTGAAAGAGAGGGAATGAGAGGTTTTTGTTTTTATGTATGTCTCTTATATGCCTAAATGGAGGTTTGGATAACTTTTTCAAGTATTCACAGTGAGAACCTGCCTCAGACATTGAAATTTAGTAACACAATTTTTGGTAGCTATAAAGCACTTAGTATGCTTTCCAGTGGAAAAAAGCCCACAAAAGACATAAAGAGTTAAAAACAGTAAAAGAGTAGAATTCTCTAAAGCTTCATGTTAATAAAGTAGTTTAGAAGATAGCTCTAAGATACTTATATAATCTGTACTGTTCTCAAAAGTATAAATGGTGTTATTTTTAAGCCACAGGGTGGTGCTGGAGCTTAAGTTTATAGCTATGGTTTGTATGGAGGGAGAGAGTGAGTTAGATGTTGGTAAACAGTAACTTGGATGAATTGAAAGGTTTAAGTGAAAGGACAATTAGCATGGTTCTTTTGTTTACCAGGCCGTTTAGACCTAGATGTAGAATATGTGAATGACTGTAAGAGATTGGCCAAGCAATGTCAGCTCCAGGATCTCATTGAAGACTTGGAAACCAAATGTAAAAAGGTGTATGAATTTGGTAAGTCTCCCTATCTTACTGCCATTCTTTATAGGAAAATGGAAAAGGGGCCATTTCTCTTATATTAATTACCAACAGTAAATTTGTCTATTTCACAATATGAAATGGATTGAAATACTAGAACTGGTAACCACAGTGTCTAAAATTGCACAGTTGATTAAAGCCCACCAAAATAAAATGTCTTCAGTGTGTGGTAAAAAGAAACAAATGGGTCATAGCACTAAAACACTGTCTCCTGTATATACCCCTTGAATCCTGAAATTGCATTGAGTGCAGAGACTATCAAGCTAAAGTTAAGTCTTCTAATGGAAGTGGGCAGGGTTTGAAGTAGTTTAGTTTTAAGTCAGTTGGGTCTTCATAGTATCATGCTGCCCGCTGGAAGCACTAATAATGAAGCTAAAGCTTAAATAGTTTAGACACATAATACAAAGGCAAGAGTCATCAGAGAAGAGCCTGAAACTTGGAAAAATTAAAGGCAGTTGAAAAAGAAGCTGATGGAAGGTAATTGGCTAGATGCTATATCTGATAACATAAGCATGATTCAAAGAACTCAAGGTACTCAAACAAGTAGTTGCTGAGAAACAGTCCTGGGCAATTGATGTTTGGCAATTGATGTCTGGCAAGAGTTGGAAGTGATCAAACAACCACACAAGAACAAAATCTGGTTTAGGCCTTTAGGACAGGAGAGAGCTAGGTTCAAGTCCATCTTTACTATGGAAACTCACTAGGCAGTTTAGAGCCCGTCATTCCTTCTTAGCCTACTCACACAGTTGCTCTTGCAGAGATAAAATGAAGGGAGAGCCCTATGTATGTTGCCTCAAGTTCTTGGAGGAAAGATGGGATATAAATCCCCCACTTCCTTGGGAGTCACCAGGCCAAACTCAGCCCAGATAACTGGATGAGACTGAGTCCCAGACATCTCCATAGAAGCAGTACAGCCACAAATCAGCTCAAGTGATTGCAAGCAACTTTATCCAACAACTGCTTGGCATAATCCTCACAGTGGGCCTGCAAGAGTTCCGCTAACCACTTCTTAACCAGGAGAGACTGAGTCACCCAAAACATGGTCGCCGGGTGGCTATCAGGGTTAAGTAGGCTTAGCTCTGTTTCTATTTAACATTAATATGAATATGTGTGCTGTTTGCTTTTCAGAGTAATATCTGTGTATCCTCTTTTTAACTTGGACCTATTAGTAATTGATTAGTAATGGCAGGCAGGTTTTTGTATGGAATAAATGGAAATCCAGAACAAAAATGCTTGCGATGTAATTTTATCTACAATGCAGTACTGCTTAGATACCTCTATACTAGAATATTTAGCCTACTTACTACTACTTAGCCAGACTTCACATGGAAGCTCCTTGCTCTTAACAAGAATTAGCTTCCTGGAAATCATATTGTGAGTTAGTGTTCTCTATAGGAAAGGAAGGAATGGGAAGGAACAGGGTGAACAAAACTCTAGTTTTTCATAGCTGGGAGCAAACTTTCAAGCAATAAGATATAATGTCCACCTTTGCTAATGGTTTGTGTCTTATGTGGCATTATACAGTGCTGCTTAAAAGTTTGTGAACCCTTTTGAATTTTCAGTATTTTAGCATAAATATGAGTTCTGTGTGATCTGTTCTCTACACAAGTCCTACAACTAGTTAAAGAGGACCTGATTAAACAAGTGAGTCAAAAACATACTTGTTCATTTATTGAGTAAAATGATCCAAAGTAACATATCTCTGTGTGTCAAAAGTATGTGAACCTCTAGGATTATTAGTTCATTATCAGGGGAAATTAAAGTCAGGTGTAGGATAGAAGTTACTTCTACAGCAAATGAGACATTTGATCATTTTTAATAGAGAAGAATTTTTTTGCAGTCCTAGAAAATTGCAATTGTGACTGGAAAGATCTGGGGAAAAAACATAATCAGACAAATATTCATCTGTGCAACTTTTTCGTAAGAATAGAGAACCTAATTCTTCATCTTATTAATTTAATCCATTGAACTTGGGTTTGATGTTAAAGTAGACAATTTTGAAAGAGTTTGAAAAGAAGGTGAGCCTCTTAAGGGTATAAATGCTAGATTTTGCCAAATTTACACTTAAAGATACTATTAAGAGCCCTTCATCAGCTTGGTCAAAGATCAGGAGATCAGAAAACTCAAAGATCTTTGTCATAATTCATTTCATTCTGCAAATATTTTCAAGTAGCCTTGTGAGAAGAAAAAATTATCAAAAAGCCCCCAAAGATCTCAATATAAGCACTGACAAGTCTTAAAAGTCTTCAAGAAATTAAAATGAGTACCCCCTACTGACTTAAACAAAACTCAGAAAATCAAACAGCTGGTAAGAAATTTCTGGCAAGAACTAGCACAGATCAGATTAAAACAGTAAAGCAAGCAGCCGCACTGAATTTCAGTGCTCAGATACAGAAGAGTGAAAAGATTTTAAGCTTTGCCCAGCAAGTTGAACAAGGTCATAAATTAAACAAGTTGACAGAAATTTGTTCCACTTTCTATTTGAATTAACAATACAAGCAGTCCTCGCTTAATGACCACAATTGGGACCAGCAACTCTGTCGCTAAGTGGTGCAGTCACTAAGCGAAACATATGACCATGCTGGACTTAACATCACTCCTCCTGCAGTTGTTAAGTAAATCACCCATGGTCTTTAAGTGAGACATCATGTGACCACAACTTGCAATTTTACTGCCATCTTCTCTGGCAATCATGTGGCAATTGTAAGTGCAAGGACCAATTGCAAAGAGACAGTGGGGGTCTATCTTCTTACCTTTTTATTTTGTTAATATTTATTTTAACAAGTATTTTAAATGATCTTTAAAATTTTTAATTTAATTAAATTTTAATTAAATTCTACTTAGAAATGTAAATAATGCTTAGAAATAATGGACTCTCTTAAAGTGCATGAACCAATGCTTGGAGTGCAAATAGTCCATAATTTAATGATTATACATGTGAATGGATGCAGTGGAATAAAGGATAGAAAGATATAATGAATGGTTTGGTGTAAACTATACTTAGTGGTATTTTTTTTCTCATGTCTTTAATTTTTTTTTTTTTTGCTTACTATATCTCCCTTTTCTGTACTTTGCATGATATTACTTACTCCAAAATATGTATGTAAATCGCAGACTAACACACCACACTAGCTCATTTTAGAAGGACATGTTGATAAAATATTCAACTTTTTAAAATTTTGATACTTTTGCTTTGTATCTTTCAGTTTCTTCCAAGCCAGGGACCTGTGTAAAGGTGCTGACAATTGAACCATCAGGTAATTCACGGTTGCAGGAAGACCTGGCTCTGCTAGCAGAGTGTGCCTTGCCGGCTGAATTCAGGGTAGGAAGTATTTCATTTCTTGTTTCCATCTCTTTGATGCATTCTTCCATTTGAATAATTTAACAGAATTACATGTAGCTTATTATCTTGCTATATAATTAGTTTGGTCACCTGTTTATTAGATCCAGGTTCCTCCTGAGTTGTTAATGTGGCCTGGGAGATTACCTTCCGTTAGGATGATGCTGTGGTGCTGGCCTGTGAGGGGGTGGTGCCTTCAGTCTTGAAAGAAACAGCGGTGTGCCTTCTCCTCAGGAGAAGTGTCCTTGGATGAAACAGTTCTGGACAATTTATCGTCCTGTCTCCAATCTTCCCTTTTTAAGGAAATTTATTGAAAAGATGATCAGACTGCAGTTGCAGAGAACCCTGGAGAAGGCAATTATCTCAGTTTCAGTGAGGTTTCAGGCTGGGATTTAGTACAGAGACAGCCTTGGTTATGCTTGTTGATTATCTTTGGTTGAGCCAGGATAGGGCTTGTGCAACCCTCCTTGTGCTCCTTGATCTTTTAGTGACTTTTGACACCATCAATAACAGTATCCATTTGGACTGGCTGTGGGGGTTGGGAATTGGTAACACTGTTTTACGGTGGTTCCCTTCCTTCCTTCATGGCTGGTTCCAGTCAGTGTTGTGAGATACTCTCTCCCCTTCTGTTCAGCATCTACATGAAACCAAGATCATTTGCCAGTTTGGGGTCCAGGATCATCAATACACTGATGATACCCAATATATATTTGGACCCTTAGTGGGCCAAGTGATGATGTCAAGGTTGTGTCCCAATGCCTGGAGGCTGTATGGGTCTGGATGAGGGGAAACTGGCTCCAACGTAATCCTGTCAGACTGAATGACTGTGGATATTAGGGCCCCCTGGATCCAGGGATTTTCCACCTCTAATCTTGTATGAGGTTGCACTTCCCCATTCAAGACTGATGTGCAATCTGGGGCCATCTTGGCTCCCAGCTCCTGCTCAAAGGTCAGGCGGCAGCTGTGGCCAAGAAAGTCTTTGCAGAGCTTCTTGTGCAACAGTTGCACCCCTTCCTGGATTGGGAGATCATTCAGGCAGTCACTCATGCCCTAGTTACCTCATCGGTTAACTACTGCAGTACACTCTACATGGGGCTGCCCTTTAAAACCACTTTGAAACTTCAGCTGGTCCAGAAAACACTGGTGCTGGCAGTGATGGGCATGCCTTGATATGCCCACATAACACCATTGCTTCATGAGCTGCACTGGTTGCCATTGTGCTTCCAGGTGCAATTCAATGTGCTGGTTACAAACCCCACATAGCATAGGGCTAGGTTATTTGAGGGACTGCCTGTCTCCCATGGTTTCTGCCCATTGCTAAAACCTTCAGGTCCCTTCAATTAAACAATGCCATCTGTTGGGACCCAGGAAGTGTGTCTTCTCTGTCACAGTGTCTGCCCTCTGGAATGAGGTTCCCTTCAGAGATTTGTGTGGCTTCCATCCTGATTGCTTTCAGAAGGCCTTGTAAATCTGGCTGTTCTACAAGGCTTTGTGATAGAGCAGATGTGGTCCCTTTACTACATGTGTTTCTGTCTATATTGTGTATTGTTTGGCTGGATACCAATCTTATTTACTTGTATTGTATTTTGTATTGTTACTTGTTTTATACTGTGAGCTGCCCAGAGGTGTCATGGAGTCTGGCGGCACAAGAAAGAAAGAAAAGAAAAAGAGAGAGAGAGAGAGAGAGAGAGGCTTTGTAGCTTATTAGATAAAAGCAGCTAAAATTGCTAAATTAGACATTATCTGTTTTCACTTTCTGCTGGCAGTCGCACAAAAACCTTACTACCCTTCACGATGTAATATAATCCCAATCAGAGAAAAAGAAAAAGAAAAATCTTTGCCAGAGTGTCCTAATAAATTATTCATAAGCAGCGCTAAAATTCCATTACATGTGTTTCTGTAGTAGTGCAATAGCCTTTGAGCCAGTATTTTGGTGCTCCTAAGCCATATACATCTTTCATATTTTCCTAAATCTGCCAAATAAGATTCTAGGAAATAAAATACTAAAATGCACTAACATGTACATTTTGTTGATCAAGATATTTGGCTAAAAGGTTGATTATGACACATAATTGTGTTAAGGATTTCATTTTGTTTCTTCTGTTTTTCTGTCCCATAACCCAAAGGCAGTAAAGACTGCAGAGAAAATCCATATAAATGTAACTTTTTATTTACAGGCATATACCAACTTTATCAGAGATTATTACAGTGGTTAAGGGGAGCCAATCACTTTGGGAAGAAAAGTTGCCTTAACCAAAATGTAAGCCTACAGTCATGTGAGAAAGTAAGTACACGCCATATAAAGTTTTTTTACTTTTTTAACAAATGTGGACATAACAATATTTTATCTTCATTCATACAGTATATAAAGATAAAAGCAATGTAATTGAACAAAAAAAAAACCTATGAAGACTTGACTTTGCAATCATTTATTCAACAAAAAATTAACAGACATTTCATTTCCTTCTGTGGAAGAAGTAAGTACACCCTTGGCTCTAATTGCCCCCTTTGGCAGAAACAACCTCAAATAGATGTTTCTTACAACTGTCTGCCAGTCTCTGATGTTGAGTGGGAGGAATTTTTCCCACTCCTCCATGCAGAATTTGTTTCAGCTATGCAGTGTTTGAGTGGTTTCTTGCATGCACAGCCCATTTTGAATCACCCCACAGTATCTCAATGGGATTTAGATCCAGGCTTTAGATCCTGGCCATTCCAGAACCCTCCATTTCTTTCTTTTTTTTTTCCAACCATTCCCTGGGGGATTTACTGAAATGTTTAGGGTCATTGTCATGTAGCAGTGTCTACTTTTGGTTGAGCTTTAGTCTTTTGACAGATGATCTCACATTATCCTCAAGCACCCTCTGTGTACAATATACACAGAGGATTCTGTGATGGTGAGCTCCCCAGGCCCTGATGCAGCAAAGAAGCCCCAAACCATAATATGTCTGCCACCATGCTTTACAGTTAGTATCAGTTTCTTCTGGTGAAATACTGTCTTTGCTTTTCACCAAACATGTCTTCTGGTACTGTGGCCACATAACTCTATCTTTGATTTGTCTGTCCAGAGCACTTAGTTCCAGAAGTCCTGGTCTTTGCCTAGATTGGGAACAAACTTGCCCTGATGTTTTTTCTGGACAGCAAAGGTTTCCTCCTGGCACACCTTCCACGTAAATCTATTATGTGCAGCTTCTTTCTAATGGTAGACTCGTGCACTTTGATCTCAGTAGTGATGAGAGCTGCCTGTAGGTCATGTGATAACATTCTAGGGTTCTCAGATTCTTCTTTCAGCATCTTGAATTCTGCTCTTGGGCGGAACTTGCTGGGATGGCCTGGCCTGGGCAACCAGGCAGTTGTTTAAAATCTTCTCCACTTGTAGATGATCTTGTAGACAGTGGAATGATTGATGTCCAATTGTTTGGTGCTCTTTTTAAATTTCTTCCCAGACTTATAGACATAAATAACCTGCTTTCTGAAGGCCTCACAGAGTTCTTTCGATCTAACCATGGTGATACTAAAATTCAACAACAAAGAGCAAATCAAACTAAATGTTTGAGGTTTCAGTAAGATGGGTTGCTCCCAGATCCTCTCTAACAATGTTATAATCATTTGCACCTGATCTGGTGCATCTGATTCTAATTTTAGGTTTGAGGTAGTGATAAATGTAGGGGTGTACTAATTTTTCCACACACAAAATTTGCATTGATGTTTATTTAAATTATGCAATGGACTACAAAATGTAAATGGTGCATGATATTTGTTATATTTCCTTCATCGGTATTGTTGAAATGAAGATCAAATATCTGTATGTTGAAATATGTTAAAAAAGTTTTAAAAATTCAACGGGGTGTACTTACTTTTTCACATAACTAGATAAATCTGCCCTCTAGGTAGAGGAATACTGTAGGCATGCAGTGTGCTACCTGAAACAGTTTCTTCAAGAACATAGTCTAAATTACTTCCATCATGGTAAAATTCTGGTAAAAGCTAAGATGTATCGCACCTAAAAGTTGATGGCACTATAGATTCCAAAAGCCTTAAAGGAACAGGAACATAACTACGTTCATCTCATTTAGGGGGGACAAAAGCATGGCTGTCATATTTCTTAGGGTAACCCGCATTACATAATCTTGATGAGCAATTCACCTACTTATAGCTACGTTTTGAATTGACAGCCTGTTGAAACTTCTCTTGTCTCGCTTTTTGAATATCTTGCAAAAGGCATAGAAGCTTGACTGTGTCAATCTTGCCAGCTCAAATAGTTTTAGTTCAGGAGCTATCATGTGTGAGTAGAAATGCTACCCTTTTCCATGTCACCAAAAAAACTTGTGGACTCAAAACCAAACTATAAGAGCATGTTTCTACGTATTCAGATCTTCAGACCCCGTTTACTCTAGCCTTAGGAATGTGAGCTTTGATATTTGGGGTTTGTCAGTTCTGAATGCCAGGCTTCATTATTCTGTTTCCCTTTGCAATACACTGGCATTTTTAGATAAATAAAAATTGTACTTTTTACATTATAATAGGTTGCAATGTATAGTTGTGTGAGAGCTCTTGTGCTTCATACTGTCCCAGATGTATATGAGTTTCACTCCTATTCCAAGGAGGAGTTGCCAGAGTTCCCACTGCATATGGGAGAACATGTAGCAGAAAATTGAAGCATGAGCACATGCCAGATAAAAGGAGTATATGAAGTTGCACACATCCCTTTGACTGCATGTGGACTGTGCTGATGAGCGTTCAGAACTCGGGCATTATGTGTTTTTAATTCTGTGTTAAATCCTTTTCATATTTTTCTCTAGTGCTGCTGCATTTTTGGCTCTGTTGACAAAAGTAAACTAATAAAACATGGTCCTATATGGTCTATAAATCTAAACACCAGAACAAAATTTTCTGATTTTCTATAAGCAGAAAGCTTACCATAAGTAATTTTTACACCAAATTTTCTGTAAGACAGACAACATTTGTTGTATTGTATTTTATTTGGTATATGCTAGGTGATCTCTCTGCTGGCCCTTGTTATGTGTGGTAACTTTTCTACTAATAGAAACACTTTCATTTATTCCTCCTCCTGCCATTTGTTTAGTAGGAATAGAATGAATTATTAGATAAAGCATGTGATAAAGCGAATAGCTTTGAATTATGGCATATTTCACGTGAATACGAAGTTGAAGATTTGTTGCTGAATACATTAAGAGCAGTATATGATGTAAATAAAGCACGCATGAAAGTAAAAGGAATGCTTAGCAAACAGCTCAGCGCAGAGCTTGGGTTCGACTGTTTAATGTATTTGTAGATACATGTATAAATAATGCTGGTTTGCAGCTCATATGATTTGCAGAGAATATTAGATAGATTCTATGATGCAACAAGGAGTATGGATTTGAAAACCTAAGGGCAGCAATTTTAGGATTACACCCAAGCAGCCTCTCACAACCCACAGATCCAAGGGCATTCCTTGATTTACAGAAGTGATCCTGAGAGATGGAGTGGCCAAGGAGATGCCTAGAATGTCATTGGTGTTAAGACAAAGGGCAAGTCTGATCAGACCCAGATGAGAGCTCAGGTTCAAGCCTTCACTGTGGGGATAAAAGTGGCAGAAAGGCAATATTTCTCCACTCTTATGGCATCTCAGATTATCATGTTTTATATTATTATATATTTGTACACATTATTGTATAATATATATACATAATTTATATTTATGGAATGTTATATTGTTATTAAACATATGGTCAAAAATCAAAGTAGTTTAGATTGTAATAAGAATTTATTTCTGTTTGCGTATAGGTAGGTTTTGGAGAGTTGCCTTTTGATAGCACCGACAGCTTCAGTAGTTATCCTGATCTGTGTTTCCGAGTGTCAAATTACAGTTTCCTGTGTCACAAGGTATAGATTGCGTTGACCTGACTCGGGCAGTTTCTTGTTTCGTCCCTCAATTCTAAAAAGTCATGTATAGAACCAGGAATACTTCAGTTATTTATGAGACATCTTGCAGGAAAATCCATTTCCAGAATGGGAATGTGCTATCAGATTACAATAAATTATAATAATATTAATATTAGTAATAATAATTGAGCATGATTAAACAACAACATCTGCCTATCCCAGGTCCTTGGGAAGGACTTGATAGGTGGAGAAAAATGCCAAATGCCAAAAAGTTTGAATGCTTTTTGGTCGCCTTGCTTGACTTTGTGTCATGGACCCTTTTCCTGATCCTGCTGCTTGCCTATTTTAACCAAGAAGATTCCACTGTTTTGTGTATGTGTATAGACACACACATACACACACATAAGGATACACACACATATTCTTCTCTTTTTGAAGGCATTTTTCTGTGGCCGAAGTGACTATTTCAAAGCCCTTTTGAAGGACCACTTCTCGGAGAGTGAGGAGCTACAGACCCAACCCAGTATCCCTGTGGTGACCCTTCATGACATTTCGGAGGAGATATTCATCAGAGTTCTTTATTACATCTATAGTGATGACACAGAGGTGAGGCTGAGGTTGTTCTTTTGGATGGAGGTTGAGTCATGGCAACTGGACTTCTTTTCTTTTTTGGTAGAGATGTTTTGCTACTTGTCCAAGCAGCTTCTTCAATCTAAAAAGGTTGGTTAGGGGGACTCCATAAAAGTCTTCCAGGGTGGCTGTGTTTTTTACTAGCATGATGGGCTCCAGACAATTCCACCTGGATAACTGAGAATCTTCATAAACATATTATTTTGGAGCATGATCTATTTTAGACTATTCTAGCAAGGATTACTGTGCTGTGGAGCAAAATGAAAAGGGCAGGACTGGCATTGTATGATGCTTGTTACACTTGTATGAAGATAAATAAAAGAGACCATTAAATTAGGGTAGTATAATCCCTTGTAGCTTTTGTTGATTCTTTTAAGATATTTCTCTATCTTCCTGTAATTTTTGTGATTCTTGGGTAACTTATCTACCAGTCTTTTGCCTGTATTTTACTTGAGACTTTATTAATAAGTAGTGAAGGCTTATTTGAATATGACTAATGAATTTTTGTGGTTAGAAGAATCTGTTTATTAAATTTGTACTGTTTACTGGATTC